GGGGGGGGGGGACACTGTTCAGTGATTTGTAGACATACAGGAGTATTTTGAACTGGATTCTAAGGTGAACTGGTAACCAGTGCAGTGAGGCCAAAACTGGTGTAATGTGCTCTCTTTTGCCTGTACTGGTTAAAAATGGGGCTGCTTCATTCTGGACCAGTTGTAGTCGTGCAATGGAGGTCTGACTGATACCAAACAGGAGTGAATTGCAGTAATCAAGCCTAGATGTAATGAATGCATGTATTACTGTCTCCAGGTTCTTTTTGGACAATATGGGCTTCAGTTTAGACAGCCGCCTCTGTTGGAAGAAACATGATTTAACAATCATGTTTACATGACTGTTAAGTTTCAGGGAAGGGTCCATTATCACTCCCAGATTAGTGACTCTTTGTTTTTCTGACAGGGTTAGGGAATGGATCATTAGCACCTGATGGCTGTTTACTGTTCACAGAGGGCTGAGTGATACTAGCAATCACAGCATTGTAAGAGGGGGACAGTTGAACCTGGAGGCTCCACCCCTGTTTAATGATGGACGGTTTCTTTTCACAAAGATGGCCTCCTTTACTCCTCTCTCAAACCATCGTTCCTCTCTGTCCAGGATGTGAACATCTTCATCCCTGAAAGAGTGACCGCTGGCCTGGAGATGAGTGTAGACCGCAGAGTCCTGGCCTGATGATGTTGATCTTCTGTGCTGGTCCATCCTTTTGGCCAGTGGCTGTTTAGTTTCCCCAATGTAAGACTGATCACCCTCGTGACACTGAACAACATACACAACATTACTCTGTTTGTGCCGGGGGACTGGATCTTTGGGATGAACCAGTCTTTAATGTATTTTGGGGTTTAAAAGCCACTGGGACATTGTGTTAACTCTGATACTCCCTCAACATCTGGAATGACCACTGGTCTGGGTTCACCTGATGCTGACTGGAGTCCAGTTTGGTTCCTCCTGTTCACCTGATGCTGACTGGAGCCCAGTTTGGTTCCTCCTGTTCACCTGATGCTGACTGGAGTCCAGTTTGGTTCCTCCTGTTCACCAGCATGTGTCATTGCAGGCAAATTCAATAAAGACTGTAAACAGACTGAACAAGGTTCATTTACATGTACCTTTTTCTTGCATGCTTTAATATTTCCTGTTTGTTCTTGGCGAGTCCAATCGGTTCTTCTCCCCCTGAACACGTCGTACTGTTGACCTTGTGTTGACGGATCAACAACACGAGGGTTTACATCCAGAGGAGCTGATGGTCGCAGCACAGTCCACGCCAAAACATTTATTTATCGCAGCAGACGGCTTTAAGAAAATAAAACGTTTTTCAGCTTGGACAAACCGTTGGCTCAGATTATGGGCAGGTTTCATCAGCGGTCACTCCTCGTGGTCGCCGGGTCTCGGAGGGAACAGGTCCAGGAGAGAAACCTGGACCTCCATGTCCTCCAACATGGCGGACAGACCGTGCGCGCGCAAACTGTGACGTCATCACTTTTCTAAACAAAAGTAAAGATGAAAAAGTCAAAAGTTGACTTCTCAGGTGGAGGCGTTCCTGAGTGATAAGAGGGTGGAGCCTCATAATGAGGACGTTGTTTCGGTCAGTTGTGGTGAATATTGTTGAGTCTAAAGGCAAAGCTATGGATGTTCTGATATGTTGACGTTCCAACCCTCACCTGTGGTCATGAGGTTTGGATCAGAACCAACAGAACCAGATCCTGAATCCAAGCAGCGCAAATGAGCTTCCTTCATAGAGTTGGGAGGAGCCAGGAGGCGCTCCATCATCTGGACTCAGCAGAGGAGGCCCGTCTGATCTGGACACCTCCCTTTGGAGGTTTTCCAGGCTCTGGGAGGAGACCCAGAACCCTTGAAGGATTATAGACCCTCTCTGGTCTGGGGACACCTTGAGGTCCCCCAGGACTGGAGAGTCCAGGTCTGGGTTTCTCTCCTGACCACAGAGGAGTGGAAGAAGATTCTGAAACGATGGACGTTTGTTGATTTATCATTTCAACTTATTAAAGGGGAACGACGCTGAGCTGTGAATAAATGAAGCATTCGTTTTAAAAACAACCACAACTCTTAAAATAATTTGTTGTTTTTATGAAAATATAAAATCTAATCGGTTGATTTGCAGTTAGAACATGTATAAATGTGTAAACATGTAATAATATATAATGACATTTCCCTTTGGGATCAATAAAGTACGGTATTGATAAAAAATATTTAATGTGATGTAAAAACGGGATTGACCCAATACGCCTCAATATTTTCATCAATCAACAGAAATGAAGGTTTTGTGAAATATCAGAGCCACGACCTGAAGGACTCGTCCTCGTCACGTGTCCACCTGGACCAGGACCGGTTCTGTTTTTCAGTCTAGTTTCTTTGTGTTTTTCATCAGAACCCGGAGTACTACGGGTTCTCCGACGACCCGGTGCAGGATGAGTGGAACATGAAGGTGGCCTTCTTCATGGGCCTCTCCATGTGCGTCGTTGTCGGAGGAGTGTTCCTGCACTATATACCGGACCTACGGTGAGTTCGTCATCTTGAACAGTTTGTAGAACCTCCCCCAGAACCAGAACTCTGTGGTTTTTTGTAGGACTTCATCAGTCTCGCTCATGGTTCTGGAGGAGTTCTGGTCCACTCTTCTTTTCATCACTGAGTGTTCTGTTCAGCTCTCTGACGGTCCAGGCTTCAGCTGTTGGACTCCAGAACCCTTTGGTCTGCAGAGGAGTTCCTGGTCCACTCAGAGACTGACAGGAGCCCAAACCATCAGCCCCCCACCACCATGCAGCAACGTTAGCCTTTCCAAACACATTATGACCTTTGACCTGCTGACTGAGGTCTGTAGTCTGACCTTTGACCTG